GAACAGAGCAGGGGTTTTCAGGAGCTTTCTTGGAAGCACGTGGGAACTCACCTGTGCACCTCATGATACATTGGGGAAGGGCAGCTGCATATAACCCTCACTTGCTGCTGAATGAGTCTGTAGCCTGTCCAGCTAAGAATGACAAACAGCATTACTGTCACGGTGAAATTAAAATAATACTCGCATAAAGTCGCCTGATGGAATTGAAGTTGTTTTCATCTCCTCGTTACTGTCACGGAGAAATGAAAATAATACTCGCATAAAGTCACCTGATGGAATTGAAGTTGTTTTCATCTCCTCCGCCCCTTAGGCAGGAAGAGTGGAGCTTTGTATGATCCTACGCACCGAAGTCCTTTATACTGTGGTGCTGAAAGTACAAGCCTTTGGGAACTGAAGAAGGTAAGGCAGTCTTATGTTGCTGATTACTGTGTTCTTAGTGTGGCCCTTGTATTGAGAGAAGAAAATTAACTTGGTTATTCTTGGAGTAGCCACCTGGGTAACATAATAGAAAGGTTGAACCCCACATTGTTCAGCTTGAAGCTTGTATGTGGTACATACAATGCTGATGTTCCAGAGTAGGGAATAGGAATTTTTAAGTGGAGATTTGGACAATTATAATCTTTGACTTTTCAATCTTAGCTTCATATCACTAAGCTTTTAAGTGTTGAGTTAAATAAAATGGTAAATGAGAATGTATTTAGTTAATGCAAACAAAAGACTAGAACCTGAAGTTCTTCAGTTGTTCAAGGGCAGAGCGCATCAGCCTTGCAGAACTGCATGCATCTGCAGGTTATTTGGTGAGTTAGAGTGGTCTTATGACATAGTAGTGTTGTCAGGAGTCTGATATGTCAACGTGAGTAATGATTGCATTTATTTTTAAAACAGAAATAAATAAGTGATTCATATTTTTCAGCTTTCTGAACATTTTCATCCATCTGTGGCCCTATTTGCGAAAACAATTCTAGAAGTAAGTGCTTTTACTAGTCTGGAGCTTTGAAGTTTGATTTTTGTGTTAGCTGTCTTTTGCTGTTTGAAAAAAATACATAATAAAGCCTTCTTGCACTCTGCAGGTAACTAGTAGCTCTGCAGCACTGTAACATACACTCAAATGCAAAGCTTTTCATGGAATTACAGTGTTTTATATAAAGGAGACTGCTCACAGAAGTAATCAGCTTGGTAGAAATGTGGGTATTACATGATTCTTAAAGTGTTTTAGAGTTTTGGTCTTTTTATTTAAAGTGGTTGTTTTTTTTATGTGGGGAACCCTGATGTTGGAACAGATTCTTTTTTAATACTGTTGTGGTATCGTGCCAAAAATACTCAAACCTACACAAATACGTGTTTTAAAATATTTATTTTCATTTGAATATTGGTATCCAAATAGTGCTGAGTATTAACTGCTGTTAACGCAGGACATTGCAAGGCAGTTCATCAGAAACAAAATAAAGGAGATGCTTTTTAGTTGAGAAAATACTGAAATTCCAAAAATAACTGTCTGTACAGGAGTCATGCGTATGTGATGAAGTATTCCGGAGTCTTTGTCTTTTTAAAGTGTGGTTTTAATGTTCTTGAACGGTTTGAGTCCTCTCTGTTTAGTTGCCATCTTTCTAAAATGAAGACCACAATGATTTTTGGCTTTTTTTCTTCTTTCAGGGAAATCACATTCAGTACTCCGGTGACCCTTTGCAGGATTTCACATTAATGAGATTCTTGGATCGCTTTGTGTATAGAAATCCCAAGCTTAATAAAGGCAAAGGTACGAACTTCTCATATTAGCGCATGATCTTGATTATTGATGGTGACCAAACTCTTTCACTCTTTGATTGCCAAGTAACCCTTTGTGCTTGTCAGGTGTTCAAGGTGCATGTTGTTGAACAGAGGAATGGGGTCAGTCTTCAGGGCTGCAAGAGAGATGTCTGCAACTTAGAACCAGCTGACAGTCACATACTGCTGCCTCTCATATCTGCAGTGCAGAAGTTGCTAACCTAGGCGGAGTAAGCAAAGCGATAGGGGAATGTAAAGACTACAGAGTGGTTGAGGTTGGAAGGCACCTCTGGAGGTCATTTGCTCAAGCAGGGCTGCCTAGAGCAGCCTGCCCAGGCTGTCCAGATGGCTTTTGAATGTCTTCAAGAATGGAGACTCCACAGCCTCTCTGGGCAACCTGTGCCAGTGCTCAGTCACCTGCACAGTGGAAAAGTGTTCAGACGGAGCCTCCTGTGTTTCAGTTTGTGCCCATTGACTCTTGTCCTCTCACTGGACACCACTGGCAATAGCCTCGTTCTGTTTTGTTTACCCCCTCCTTTTGGGTATTTCTATGCATTGATGAGGTCTCTCTGAGCCTTCTCTCCTCCAGGCTGAACAGTCCCAGCTCTCTCAGCCTTCCCTCACAGCAGAGATGCTCCAGTCCCTTCATAGTCTTAGTGTCCAGTCTTAGCTGGACTCTCTCCAGTATGCCCAGACCTGGACACAGCACTCCAGGTGTGTCTTCACCAGTGCTGATTTGAGGAAGGATCACCTCCCTCCACCTGTTGGCAACGCTCCCCCTCATGCAGCCCAGGATACCATCAGCCACCTGGGCTGCATGGGCACATCGCTGGCTCATGGTCAGTTTGGTGTCCACTTAGGGCCTGTTCTACCAAGCTGCTTTCCAGCTGGGCAGCCCCCAACACGTACCAGTGCCTGGGGTTATTCTGACCCAGGAGCAGGACTTTGCACTTCCCCGTGTTGAACCACATGAGGTTCCTATCAGCCCATTTCTCCTGCCTCTTGAGGTCCTTATGGATGGCAGCAAAACCCTCTGGTGTCAATCAGCCACTCTTCACAGTTTTGTAACCGTAGTAGTAAGTAACTTGTTTCTGATTTATGTTGTGCTATAGAAAACACCAGCAGCGTGGTAATGCAGCCGAAGAAGAAGCGGTTTATGAAAGATACGCAGAATCTTGCAGGTAAGCCAGCCCCTTTTCAGTTAAGACTATGATGGGTAAAGAGTTCTTGGCTAGTTGTCATCTGCACTGTCTATACTATTGCTGTTAGCAATAAAAGAAAGTCCTGTCCATCAGGAGTGCATCAGTGGGGGAGGTGTCATTGGTGGGGGTGCCTGATGTTTAGGATCACGTCTAATCTTTTTGTAAGGGTGCGTGGAATCTCCACAGCTGAAACTTTGGATCCATTGAATTGTTTTAAGAACAAATGACATAAGAGAGTGAGTTACCTCAACTGTTAGCCTCTTGAGTAGGAAAACACTTTTATTTTCTACTGTAGCACTTGTCTTTACACACACCAAATTTTTTTTTAAGACCTTTCTTTTCGCCCTGTTTTTCCCCCCTAGTTGCCAATTAGTAATTGTATTGTAGTAATTCTTTTTTCTTAGGCAATGTGAGATGAAGATCATACCTTGTGTTTAGCCTCCCCATTAAGAAATGTGTAACAGTGAAGGACAGAGCTACTTAAAACTACATGCCTTGTTTTCTGTGCAGTTTTTGCTATGACCTGCATATGCTTCCTGTACCTTCTCTTATGCTAAGTTATCTTTTTCCTCCATCCCCCTAAAATGAAATACACCCCCTGGGTAAAGAGTAGATTTGCAGACTTGTATAAAAAGTTTAGAACATTGTTAGAAATTTGCTTGTAGCTGGCAATATGATCCCTTAGGGGGGAAAAAAGCCTAAAAAAAGTCTTAGAATTTGTTCCAGCTAATGATATTTCTAGTTAGAAGAGCAATCTGTTAGGTTATTAACTTCAGAGGGACATGAATTTATAAAATACTAGCTAAATTTTCTGTTCACAAACATGCCATTCTTATGTCTGGCATTCTAGTTTTACAAATAATGTTTTTTAAAGTTCTTTAAAAATGTAAAATTATATAAAAATCTTCAAAAACATATGCTGATCTAGCAGTATTTAATATAGTAGTGTTGTGTAGTTAATGTTTTTTATTTGTTACCGGGTTATCATAGAAGCACTTTTATTTTGCTTGTTACGATTGAAAAATGACTTAGTCTCAGAAAATGGGTTTATATTAAGGATTTAAATCACATTAAGCTCTTTCATTAAATGGTATGGGTTACTCCATACAGTGCCACAGCTGCAGCTATTGTTAGGATTAGTGTAAAGTATCTTTGGCCCTGTTGTTTTGCTGAGAGTCTTCCCGCGTCCAGAAAGACGTTGCCTTTTGTCTAGTCCCACTGTTTCCAGTGAATAAGGGCAGGATTTGGTGGTAAGAGCCAGCAGTTAAAAATCAGGGTAAACCATCAGTAAAACATGGTGCTTGAGGACAGAAGAGGTACCATCTTCTGGGGTGGAACCTCTGTAACATTCCCAGGGATGTGCTGTGTGATAACTTTGGGTCTATTGTGTTGCACAGAGGTTTTAGTTACACAGATTAGCTGATGCACCTTTACTGATACATGATTTTATGGCTATCAAAACTTAAAGTAGGAATTTTTACCCAGAATGCATTTGAAGGTACAGTTTATTGCATTCTTTAGTTTATTCTGAGTTGAAGGAGCAGCCAGAGCGTTTAGAACTGGGATTGAGGAAGTTGTGTTCTACAAATGCAGCATCCACTATAAAAAATATGGATATATTAATATGGATACAAAAATGTGCACTTACTGCATGTAGCTGGGCTCTGCTGGGGCTTAGAGAACTGAGATTGCAAATGCACTGGTACCTTCTACTATTCATCTGGAGAGTCCTGTGAGTATGCTGATCTGCTTTCAGAAACTTGGACCCTTGTCACTTAGAAAATGTTATAGTGTGTGCCCACTGAGATAATCAGTAGGTCTTTCTCCTTTGATTTACTTCTGAGGTGGAGGAGGGAAGGGGAACGTATGAGGGTAGAAAGCTTCTCTGCAGGGAACCTGATCAATACCCTAGTCGATCTGCTGTTGCAGTGTTGTGTTTTGCTTCAGCTCCTCAGAAATGGAGGCATGGTGAGGCTTGATCCCTTCTTCAGCGTGCTTAGCTGGTATATGGTCCTGCCTTGCAGCTGCTGACGAGCATTATTCCCACTGCTTCTGGGCAGAAGCAGTTTCAGTATTTTAGTGCACGACAGTGAGCTTATCTTATTTCCTGCTTTTTTTGTGCCTTTTTTTTTTTTTTTTTTTTTAAATATGCATTTCTGCTGTAGGTGATTGCAGAACCTCCCTTGCTGACATATAGATTAGAATCGGGTTAGGGCTATGCCTCTTGAGTTTTTCCATGGGGCCTGCTCGCATCTAAGTATCAGTATATACACTGAGAACTGTTGGTTCGAAGTTTTGAGGTGAGCTCCATTTTATTTAACGGATGACACTGGGTACCTGCACACTTCTGTCTGTGCATGCTGTCTAACTTTTTAAGAGTAACAGTCATTTCAGCTTGAGGTAAAATCAGTTCTTTTTTGTTTCTGCAGTCAACAGTAAGGAATTCCGTGCCAAAGATGAAAGCAAAATCCCAGTGGATGAAGTGTTTTTTCACAGGTAATGAAATACTCGTGAACATTAATTTTAAGCGTTGTTTTTTAATACAGTGCCATCAAAACCCATTATATTTCATAAGTATTCTCTGGTATTCTAAGTGCTTGCAAAATTTGATTAGATTTGATTAATTTGAGTGACTTGTGATGATAGTACTTTCCTTAGAACATAATTTCAACATTTGTCTAAAGTGCTTGACAAAGAATATTACTTACGAACAAAGACAATCACTGCTTGTAGTCTACAGTCAAGTAAGCTGACATTCTAATAAAGAGGCCTTAAACAAGGGGTAATGATGAATGTCTTGTGGGATGTAATTCTTATGCATTAGAAGTATATTTTTTATAAAATGGAGTATACCTTGCCTTTGTTATTAGTGTCAAAGCTTATTAGAATGGAACAGTGCAAAAAAAAAGTCAGAGGAGCTAGTTTGCCATGTATTTCTTCTTTTATTATTCATAGTTCTTTCAATTTAGTTGACTTTCCTCTTAGGTTGTGATATAAAAATGCAGCAGTAATACTAAAATTGGAGTGGTACTTATTTGGCAAAGATTGCTTCTTATTAAATCAAAATACTGGTTATCTGTGAGTGTCTCTTTAGGAGAGCAGTGTTTGTTTATTTTGTGTAATTCACTTTGGGTTTTTTTGTTTAATGTCTTCATTGCTGTAGGGGCTTTAAAAAATTTTTGAAGTATCGGGTTAATGGAACTTAATTTTAATTAATGGATAGTATAATGTATAATATATATAATGTATATTTTATATTGATATGGTGGTATTAATTTAGTGATTAAAGGAAAGCAGCTTGAAAACATGCCTCTGTCTGAAAAGTTAACAGTATTGTTACATTGAGGATGACTCAATCTGAGATTACACATTTAAAGTCTCCCATACAAAGTGCTGTACTGTTTTGCTCTTGTATATGATCAGATTTGCCTTCTGTGTTTGGTGGTTCTTTAATATGAAATGAATGAGAGAAAGTGGTTTAAAATGACTGACAGAATGTAAAACTAAGCACACAAAACAGGGTTATGGGGGAAAATTAACAGAATGTAATGGGTGAATCTCTTTTTTTCTTTTTCTTTTTTTTTTTTTTTTCTCAAGTTGAACTTGATACTTTCTTCCTTATCAGTGTAAGACAGATTTTCATATCTTTCTTGTGCCCTTTTATAAATTCATTGTCTTCAAAATACTTTCTGGCACGTTTGGCTGTGAAATTTCTTTGTTTTAAATCTTACACTAGTGGCTTAGTCTTTGAAAAATACAGAAAATATAAATCTCTGATTTGGGCTGTGTTTGAAACCATTAATTACAATTTTCAACTGTCAAAGTACAGGTGAAACAATCTGCAGGTTGTTTTTTAAAAAAAACCCTTGTCATAAAGATCATCAATTTTGTATAATTGTGATCAATATATTATTTCAGATTTTATTCGAAGTTCGATAAGAGGAGAGAGAAACAAAAGCGTCAGGATGATGAAGAAAGTGTGGAAGATGTAGATGATGATGAATTTGAAAGAGCATTGGGTAAGGTTGTGTTTTTCCTTGCAGGAACTATCCCAATATTTCCTGCTTTTGCAGATTATTAATTTATCCTTTTTATAGTTTATATTATATAAAAAAGCCAGATACAAGAATATGGAAGTGGAAGAAGACTGGCTTTCCAATTCCCATTCTGTGCTAGCACAGCCAGCAGTTCATACTGTCCATCACATAAGCTAACTGGATGGCCATCTCCTAAAAGAGATCTTGCTCTCACTGCTCAGTAGCGTTCGGCTTGTTTGAATGGTTGAGAACTGTCTGATTTTGAACGTAAGCTTCTGCTTCCCACGTCTTCTAGTCCGATTAGTTTTAGGTAATTGTTTTATGGAGTATTTTTCTTACAGGACTGTGAACCCTTTCGTATCAGGGCCCTTTGTTACTGATGCAGATCATATAAACTGTTCAGGAAAATGATACCTGTATTTTGCAATGACTTCGTATTTCTTTGTTTGACTTTGTTTTGTAGTAATAAACAATTTTTTTTCCTCCTAGATGCATTTGAAGCTGCTGATAATGCCATTGATGTTGGCCAGGATGACCTTGATTTTGCTGGGTAAGATTTTAAACTGGTTCTTTGGTCTCTTATTTTAATACCTATATAGAGTTTTACTCTGCAAAATTGGATACACCTTTTTCAAAAGGACTCGGAATATCACCTTGGATAAAAAGCAATAGCAGTGGAACGCTGGGTGATGCTGCTTTTCTGTATGTCCCATAATGGGGCATTGTGATCTTGTGGTGCTTACAGTCTGCTGGCCTGACATGTGAGACCTGCAGTATTTTATTAATATAATGCAGTGACCCAGTAAGTGCAAGGTAAAATCCTCCTGGCTTTATATTGTCTCAGGTTTCTTTTTGAGTACAAAAGTACACAGAATGAAGCATAATGGTACTGCTGCTGTAAGGACTGGTTGTAACTGGACCTGATGCAGTAAATAAACTCTGTGGAATCCAGAATCAGAGAGCTCTGTTCTGAGGAAGTCAGTTTCATTAATCATAGAATCTTAGGAACATTTAGGTTGGAGAAGGCCTTTAAGATCATCGAGTCCAACCATGAGTGATTAGGTAGCCTCTTTTTTACTTGAAGTATCTGCAACACAGCTTTTCTTTTCTTGAGGTGAAAGGAGAATTAAAGCTTAAACTTCTAGTGAAACCTGAACATTTTTTGTGATCCAGACTGATGTGAGTAAAAAATAGCAGAGAGGAGAGAAAAAACAAGTAACCATCCATATGCTGATGTTGAAAACATACCTGAGTGCATAACACGTTTCTCAGGTCTCAGCCTACATTTACAATAGTTTGCAATGATGTTGAACTTTTCTAACATAGTGTTTGCCCGTAGACAGGTGTTACCTGGATGCAAACAGTATTTGGCCAGATGAAGTGCTAAGCTCGTTATATATATATATATATATATATTTTTTTTAGTAATATAAAAAAGAAAAACAGAAGTGGTAAGAAAGGCCAAAGAAGTGAGGAATCTGGTGCTGACTGGGTGGATTCTGATGATGAATTCAGTGATCTGGATGATGAGGAAGTCTCCTTGGGAAGTATGGAGGAAGACTTCGGAGACGATATGGATCAAGAGGGAGGTGTATTTATGGATGTGTCTGTTGATGATAATGGCCTAGGTAAAGTATAATTTATTATCAAAAAATGAGAATAAAAAAAGCTTTAAAAAAAAGTTTATCTAATATGTAATTACCATTCAGATTTAGCTACCTAGGTGGGAGGTTTGGCTTTTAAGTAAAGAAGTAACAAGTCCTTCTCTGACAATGAATTCTTAAGAGAAACATTTCGTGGCACAGTGTTCTAGGTGAGAGTGGGAATTTGGCATCTGGGTATAAAAACTTGCCAACAAGACATGTTTCTTTCATTCTGAAAACAGTGGCAGTAACATAAGTAGCTTTATACACAAGTAACTGGCTACAGTAGGCAGAAATACTAAAATATCTCAAAGAGGAAAAAAAATCTGGTACTTTTTTTATGTCTTCAGACCCAGTTAATGTTGATGGTAACTTGTCTCATTAAGTAACAGCTTACTCTTCTAATACAGCTATGCACCCAGATTTTTATTACCACTGTAATGATAACTGATTGTTGCACTGGAATGGTATTGTCTTTTCAACTGAAAAGCACAGTTTACACAGTGTACACTTCATGTGGCTGGAAAAGCACAGATTGATGGAGTATTTAAATTAATAACTTCAGGTCACTCCTTCATGGTGGAGGAGGTAAACTATTCATACAGCTGTTAACACATTAATCTTTCAAGAGATTATTATTTCACCAAACTTACCAAGCAGACATTCAGGGTTTACGTAACACCTGCTTTTAGCCTTCCTATCCTAAGATACGTATCTTAGTATCATATTTCACTCCTTTTTGGTTCTGTGGGGAAAAAGCGTAAAGAATGGCACACCACTGACCAGTTTTTAATTGTCTCAGTTGAAGAAGTCCCAGATTTGGTTTTACTTTTCGAAAGTAAAGACTCAGACCATTATGACAAATATGCCTAAAAAGAAATTTTAGTCTCTGCTGTGATTTAAATACACGTACATGGTGTGAGAATGAGGGATTGATGTAGCCTTTTTTTTCCTGACAGACCTGAACAGTGACGAGCAATTGAAGTCTGTCAGTAAAAAGGGCAAGAGAAAGAAAGACACGGATTTTGCGGGATCACTTGAAGGTAAGGAAACAATGCCATGATTTCCATTTGAGAAGGCTTAATACAAATAGAGTGTCAAAAACTTCAGAATTCGTGGGTTCTAGTACAGTAGATTATCTACGCTTTTGGATCTGGATTCAGATTTGAATAAGCCGTAAATGAAAAGGATGTTGTCTTCCAACCAGCGTGGCCTAGTTCAGAGTGACAATCTGCTGTTGGAGGACTGGGAATTGAAGGAGGAACTTTTGAAGGAAGGATGGAGTTGTACTGGTGGTTTGTGCATCTATTACTAACACCTGGTGCAAATTTATGCTATTTAGTTCTTGGCTGGAAACATTTTTCTCCTTTTTTTAGGGGAGGTAGAGAATAAAGGTTTCTAACACAGCTATTTTAGATGGTCTCATTAAATAAATAAAAAAATAAAAACATGGTTACACTTTTAGTATCTTTGTGAACTTGAAATTCTGTCTCATGAGAACAATACTTTTTGTTTGAAGGATCCAACCGAGGAAAGAAGAGAAAACTCAAAGATGCCAGTATACTGGCATCTGCAGAAGAGGTGAGTTTGATCAGTGCTTATCAAAAAGTGGCCAAGCATTGTACCTGTTTCTTTGTAATAAAATACTGACATTTCTCTCTTTAAAGTTTGGCTATCTGCTGGATGAAAATTCTGGGTCAAAGTTTGACAATATCGGGATGAATGCCATGGCTAACAGAGATAATGCAAGTAAGTACATGCTATAAACAGTTGTAACACTGTTTTACTTCTTTCTCTTCGAATTCTGTACTTAAAGACGTACCTTTGTAACTGAAATATTTGTGCGGTCAGAAATCACACAGTAGGGACTCAGTGTCAGTAAGACATGACTTCATTTTCTTCAGTTACAAGAGATGCCCAGTGCTAATATTAACTGTGACTACTGCAGTGAACAGGGCTTCAGAAGAAGGGAAGAGGCTGTCATGTGGCCCTTTCACCCTGAATAAGGGTGGGCCCTAGGCTGGTTGTCAAGCGTTTGTGTGAATTCTGCTGTGATAGAGAGCGTCCTGGATTCTTGTGAAGGGAAGGTGTAAGGCATGGCTGTCTTTACCTACCTACTGGCATATTTCCTTGCAGGATTGGTGAAGCAGAAGTAGTTTCCCAGAAATAATTCTAGTGAATTAAATGTGTATGTACTGATTGAATAATCAGTCCTTTGTAGAGCTTTTACAAGTCTTGCTGGTGTCACCTGGAAAACGTTAACAGCAGCACTGAAACACTGTGCTTCTAACGCAAGCATGCCTAGCATTAGTACAGTACAAAGCAATGGAAGAGCAGTCTTCAACTCTGAGATTCTAAGGTGTAGGGTATGTCTTGTGAAACAAAACCCCAAAACTTTCTCTCGTGTCAAAAAAAAAAAGGCAGCTTGCACTTTATTAACATTCATAAATACAGTAGCCAAGTTTAAGTTTTAACTTTTACATGATTCATCTGTATTCCACATCCTGGTCAGAGGTATCCATTGGCTCCTTATTTCTCACCGTTCCTCTTACAGATGTCAAACAGATCCAGTGGGAAATAGAGCGTGACAAGTGGCTTCACAACAGGGATGTGAAAAGCATCATCAGAAAGAAGAAACAGTTCAGGCACAGAGGGCTGAAAAACAAGTACAAAGGCAAGAAATCAAAAAGATGAACTGGACATCTTAATGTGGACACTTTTACAATAATTATTCTCAAATAATTTTTTAATTAATCACACATCTTACTTCAGTTCTTGCTGCTTAACCATGTCACCTGGTCATTCTCCCTTATGCTGTGAATTCCGGACCACTCATTGGATTTGTAATACACTGAAAAACAGGAAAATCCACATCAGCTCTAGTTAGGCAGGTCTGGTGGTGAGCCACCGTGTGGCTCCTTTTGTTGGATGTACAGTCCTCCAGTTCTGAGGGCTCTATCCAACAGTCTGACACTCCAGCCACCCCTGTGCATAACAACGAACATTTCTGCAGTGTCTCCTGGGGTAAGTTTTAAGCAATAATAAAATTGGTTTTATACATGAGATGTGACAGAAGCTTCAGCCATCTTTCTGAAGCCGACAACTACAAACCTACCTTCCAGAATTGATGGAAACTTCTTCTGCATTGTGTATCTGAAATCTGACAAGAAAGATAAATCACAGTTACTTTACCCAACGTATTTTAAGACAAATAACTAAATGCACTATTTTTCTAACTAGATTAGTTTAACCTAAATTTGTCTGACCTCCTTAGTTTACAGCCACCATTAAATAATGTGATCCAAATTTACTTTTTTTTTTTTAAATTGTATCAGGCTACTTCTATGTGCAGCCCTGTCATCACAGTGTTTTCTGAGCTTCTTCACAATTGTGATCACCAGATACAAGCTACAGATCCACAGGAAGCTGAGTGCCTCTCATAGACTGACTTGCAAATGAAAACTGGGAAAACTACTTGGTTTCCTTATGCAGCTTTAGGTGTTCACTGGATCCTTCTGTGAGCTGCTCTGGCAGCCTAGTAGAAAATCATGTAATGATAGCTTTATGCTATTTTGATGATTTACAGCAGCTCATAGAAGGATCTTACCTTGCAGAACTACAGTTGCAAAGGCGTATAGGATCTAGGCCCTAGAGCTGAAAAAGGGGAGATATGAAAAACCAGGAATGCTCAGCACCAAGTTACCAAGATAGGTCAATGCATCTATTCTCCACATTTGGTTTATGTATTTTTTTAATAAAAATGCAAAGAAAGATAACTTAGGTGCAACAGCCTGCTAGCATCTCTATCTGGGATAACATGCAAACTATAAACTGGTGCAGTTCAGCTTGAACTTGGTGTAAGACCACAGTACTGGTGAAATGGGTGGGCTTGCACCCTCTTGCCACCGCAGAGCTACTTTCTGGCTCGCCCTGCGGGTAGCAGGGCTGCCTGCCTTTTCCTGCTGGGGCACAGGTTTGTCACGCTAGCGCTGCACCCTGCGGAGCCCTGAGTGCAAAACAAGGCTGCTGCTGCGTAGAGTGAATCTCCTTGCAGCGATGAAGCTGGTGCTCAGCTTACTTTTGTGTTACCTACTGAGTCACAAGTTTGAGAGACTGAAGCTCGATCACCTGGAAGATGATGCTGGCTGCCTCATGCCAGCCGGGTCCGCTGACTGCCTGGGAAATGGCAGATCACGGAGGCAGCCAGACCTGACCACGAGCCAGGAGATCGCTTCAAGGGCTGATCGCCAGCTGCCCGCAAACAGGATTGATCAGTTCTTGCCTCATTTGCAGACAGCCTCTCCTCTTAAGCTCCCCTGTCGAGCCGATGCGGTTACTAACCCCAACGCACAAGGTTCAGCTGTGTTCCTGGTGGTCACGTCCTGCCTGTCGACAGTTTCCCCACGGCTTTGGTTTCATAAGAGTAAACCAGCAGCTGGGTTTTGGGGGGGTGTGTGTGTGTGTGTGCGCGTCCGTCCGTCCTGGGGGCCGCCTAACAACCTACGCAAATACAGGCCGAGCTGCTGACCCCGA